CAAGTGACAAGCCTAGGTAGGACTTAAGAAAGCAATTGAAAACAGTATCCTATAAATGCAAAATCTTAGACTGTGAATTTAACTGGTAATTGACTGGTTTTTCAGAAAAAAAGTTCCTTGTGATTTTGAGCACTTGTTCTTTTGAAGAGAACATTTAAATAGAAATACTTCTTACAAGCAAATGAACCACGTTTAAAAGATAACATGATTTTCTCTGTTAGAAAAGGAATATAGTTGTCAATCATGTGACATTACTATCTTTCATACTACAATAATTGTTCCCTTCTGAACACTATGTGGCTTCTAGCTTCCTTCCACTAATTCTTAATTTGGCAATGTTATATACTACTTTGGGGGGGAAAGAGGAACTCTCACTTAACAGAACCTCAGAGCTGCAGCAGAATGCCAAAACCAAATTAGTTACTTATCTCGACCCTTGATAGTCTTTTTTGACATGTGCTGGAGTCATAGCTTTAGGAGAGAAGTCAGATATCCCATCCGAGAGTTATACAGGTGACTGTCTAATCAAATCATGAGAAAACAGCCAGGCTTTACACTTTTCCAGGTAATCTTACTGCAGTTGCCTGTGGATCTGCATAACTCACTCTATGATGCTACTAGGTCCCTAACCTTTTCCAGTATGCATCATACATTCATTATACATCAGCAGTGAGCAAAACTGCTTTTTGAAGTAATTTTGTCTCAGTCACAATTTATTCACAAATGCCGCTTCCCATAAAGATGTCTGCAGGAAGAGGCAGGGGAGATTTCTGTTTACAAAGCTGACTACGGTACAAATGCCTCCCCTTAAGCAGTCCTTTCAAATCCAGATCTTCACAGAGGCACTACTTTTACATTCCTTAAGTGCATAACAAAATAGGCAATTTTAGGAGCACTGAATATTTGTCACTGTAGTAGATAATCATTCAGAAAGTTTCAAAGTTCATGCTGAGCCTTAATACCTACAAGTATTGAAATAGAGCTAGTAATTATCTAATGACAGCTAATAAAATAGAGGGACAAGAGCACATCATGACAGGACAAGGGGGAATGGCTTCAAACTGAGAGAGGGTAGGGGTGGATTAGATATCAGGAAACAATTCTTGACTGTGAGGGTAGTGAGGCAGTGGAACAGACTGCGCAGAGAAGCTGAGGATCCCCCATTCCTGGGAATGCTCAAGGCCAGGCTGGACGGGGCTCTGAGCAACCTGATCTAGGAGGTGTCCCTGCACAGGGCAAGGGGTTGGAAACAGATGGTCATTAAGGTCCCTCCCAGTCCAGGCCTATGATTCTATGGCAAAATTATGTTGACATTTGCACTCAAGTCTCTCTTCCTGAATTCAGAATGCTGCCTTCCTTCCATTCAATGCCAATATAAAGTACAGTAACAATCAGCTGACACCACTTCAGGAAGCAGACAGGCCCATGAGATTAAAAGACTATTCAGTGCAGGGCCTAAGCTGTTTGTGCAAGTACATGACACAGAATCTGACCCCAGATGACAAATATAAGGCTATTAACTCTAGTCATAACTGAATTTTTATCTGTTTTGTGTTTTTTAATGCATGTGCATATGCAGTCTATGCTATGTATTCTTTTACTTATAACTGCTTGATGTGGTAATAAGGATTTATTATTTGCATGCAAAGATAGATGCACTCATGGTATATTGTGCTATGTGGTTTTAGATACAAAGATTTCAGTCTTAATGCAATAAAAATGAATAAAACAAAACCTGATGAAGCAGTAGAGTACTATCCCACAAACTAAGGTCTGCAGCCTTTCCAGTATTCTATGATTGTACATGTTATTCCTACAACATGCCATCTCCCTTTGTTACTAATTAAGCAGATCTGCATTAATTCAAAAGTTTTTGTAACATTAAATTAAAGGTGCTCTATGCAAATTTTGACAAAATGATATACTGAAAACCTCAAGTGGTAGATACGACATTCAGGGGGCAGGAATTGGTAAACAGCTTCACAGTCTGATTTAATGATGTGCTTTTGCTAATGGCCATCATAGACGGTGGAAATGACACTCAAAGACTGCAACATAACAGAACCAAGACATTGCACAAAACATGATTACCCCTCTCCTAGTGCAAAATAGCCTTAATTTTGTTTGGTTGAGAGCCTCTGAAGTGTCAGGGGGAGACAGACGCCTGAGTCAGAAGAGAGTTTAGGGCTCCAGAAAACCCAATTTTCTCAATTTGAGAGAAAGCAATCACCGTTTTTGAATCCAAACTAGCAAACACCATCAGAGCAGTACTGTTATTTTACGTGGCAACTTCCAAGCTTTGAGCTTTAGAAACTCGCCTAGCACACGGCCTCCGAATCCAAGTCACCTACTCTTCAGTATCCCTTCCACGCGGGAAAACCACAGAGCTACAGCGCAGAGCTCGCCAGGCGATGATGGCGCGCAGAGACACAGTCCCACGCTGTACTGCCCCCGCCCTCCCGGAGCCCGAAGGACAGCATTTGCCACGTCCTCTTTTCCCACTCCCCTCAGGCATGAAGACACCGAGGGCAAGGCCGAGAAGGAGGACGGCGCTCCGCGTCCCTCTCCCGCCACACACCGCACCTGACAGAGCCGCCGCCACAGCCACCCCGCCGCCATCTTGGCCCCGCCCCGGCCCGCCCTGCACGGCCCGGAAGGAGAGCAGCGCCCGCGGCCCGCGGCGCCTGCCCCCGCCGGGGCGGCGGTGGGGCTGCGGGGCCGGGCCGGGAGCTCGCACGGCGCCCTACGAGCCCCCAGCCCGGTTCGCCAGCCCGGCTCCCCGGCCCGGCTCCCCGGCCCGGTTCGCCAGCCCGGCTCCCCCGCCCGGCTCCCCCGAGCGCTGCCTCAGCGCAGCCCCGGCGGAGCCGCCGCTCCCCCTCAGCCGCTTCCCGCCCCGGACGGCCGCCGCCCCCCGTCCTGTTCTCTAGGAATCCTGTGAAAAAGCCCAAACTAAACCAATTACACGAACCCTAGTTTTCAACCTTCTCCCTTTTCAACCTTTTAAAAAGGCATACAAGCCCGTTAGAGCAAAACCCGTTCGACTGTATTTTACTGATATATAAAAATGACTGGAAATGGTACATAAACCCCTTCCTTTTCACACAGACAAATATCGGTTAATAATACAACACAGCATCTGACCGGTACCAAATCTTCAAAGCGAGTAGAAAAACTAATTTATGCCACTAAACCATCCTTAAATACACACAACCAGGTAGGCAGTGTACAGCAAGATTAACCTGAAATTAAGCTGTGTGCTAGCAACGGGAACCTGAGACCAGCATAGATCACAAGCTCTATCAAATGATTACAGATTTTTTATTTTGTTACTTCCTCTGCCACCTAAAATTACAGTCTGCTTTTTACACTAAAATGCCTAAAATATTTACACAACCATCTTCTAATAAAATAACAGTTAAATATTGAAAATAAGATTTTTCTCATAAAATATGTTTTCTGTATGTACACATTTTATCAAAGAGGACTAGCTCCAATATTGAATAGTTTTCCATCATCAACCATCAGCAAGAAAAAAAGTTTTCTGAAACAAAACTATGTTCAACTCATGTACAAATAGGCAGAACAGCACATTTAACATCAGCCAATGCAACACTTAATGATGCAGTCAATGAGGCCTAAATCATGTACTGCTTAGGAAATGTGCATTTTTTTATTTTTTTTTCCTTTATGAATAACTTCTTTGGTTATCGTTGTTCTATTATATTCTTGTTTGTACAATAAAACAGCACCCAATTAATGTTACTTAACCAGGCATATGTATGTATATATATATATTTAGATACTAATTTTAGCACAGGTCCTGTGCAACTGTTACTAAAAAAGTGTCACTGTAGATTCTTTAATATAGAGTTGCTCTTCAGAATCAAGCCCCTAAATTTCTACTGTTCTGTTCTTTAAGCAGAACTCTGATTTCAATCATCATTTTCTTAAACAGTTTTTAAGCACCAGGAACCTGAAAACCTGTCTATTTTCCAGTGTAGAGCCTTTCTCACAAAGATCCTTAAAAGTTCAAAATGATACAAGCTTGGGAGAGGAAGAGTCAACTCTGCTGGGCTGTTTCCAACAGAGACCCCTGAAAGCCAACACGTTTTAGTGCTCACAGAAGTGTCCACTTTGCAAACCACGAAGACTTGCAGTATCTGTGAGGTTTTTTTGTCAGTGGGTCTTGCTGGTGGTACACAGCTGAGCACCCAGTCTGCTGACCCTGGGTGCACATGACCCCTGTGAAAGTAAAATGTCACAGCATGGACAGGAACTGCTGGGGAATGTGCCAAATGGCAGGTTGGGAAAGAAAAGGCTGCTGCTGCCTGATCTCCTGAAGCTCAAGGGTACAATGACTGAGAACATCACCTCTTATGTAACAGGAGTGAAATTCCACCCACTGGTCAAGCCCTACTGCAAAAACCTCTGGAAAACCCCCCAGAACACTAAAACAACCATGTACACAGGAACTTCACAAACCGGAAACCGAGAAGTTATTTCCAATCTCCTGAAGGGTTGTTCTTTAGCATCACAACATTCGACCTTAAGTAGAAACTCGAGGTCATTTGGCTTCACATATTTGGCTTTGGCAGAGAAGGCATCTCTCTCTCTGTCAGTGGTTCTCAACTTGTGTGGTCAGGTAACTCCTATAAAATTGCTGTGATTTACCCTCCTTTTGCATAGTTAAACAAGGACAACAAGTAGAAAATTAGACCCACCATTACTCAGATTCTGGTAAAGGTGTTAGGAATACAGCAAAAAGAACCAAATAAAATAAAGCCCAACCCACAAAAAA